CCTATTAAATAGGTTTATAATCCATTGGTTATATCACTCGTAATTAAAACCATTAATATTATTCTAGAAATACTAAATGTTTAATTTAAGTTTTACAATAAATCTCTCCCTTAAACTTAAATCCTCTTCCCATCTCTTATTTCAATAAGCCTTTTACAACTCTCCAGCGAGTGTAGTTGACAGTGGTTTGGTGAATATGTTAGCAGCTTGAGCTCGGCTTTCAACATGCTCTAGCTCAACCTTTCCTTCTCTGACTTGTTCTCGGATGAAATAAAATCGAACGTCGATGTGCTTGCTCCTTCCATGATTATCCGGATTCTTTGCCAACTTGATCGCTAACTTGTTGTCAACTTGAATTACAGTCCTTTCGTCTTGGATCACTCCTAGATGTCTTAGTAAATTTGAAATTCAAACTACATGACACACACTCCAAGAGGATGCCACATACTCAGCATCACAGGTTGACAGAGTTACAATGGGTTGCTTCTTTGACAACCAAGTAAAAGTTGTTTTTCCGAGTAGGAACACATAACCTGAATTACTTTTCCGGTCATCAACATCACCACACCAATCACTATCCGAGTAACACACTAGTCGGTAGTCATCCGATTTTGAATAAAATAGACCAAGTGATAAGGTTCCTCGAACATATCTCAGAATTCTCTTTAAGGCCTTCCAATGTGTGTAACTTGGATTCTCCATGTATCTGCTCGTTATCCGAACACTCAGCATTAGGTCGGGTCTTGTGATTGTAAGGTATTTCAGACTTCCGATTAAGCTTCGATATCTCCCAGAATCAGCTCGTTCTCCTCCATCAAACTTTGAGAGTTTAGTGCTCGGTTCCATTGGAGTAGAAACCGGGTTATAGTCCTCCATTTTAAATTTCTTTAAAATTCAAGTGCGTACCTCTCTTGGGATATAAAAATTCTTTCCTCTGACTGCTTCACTTCTAGGCCAAGAAAATATTTCATCAGCCCTAAGTCTGTCATTTTGAACTCTTTCTTCATTACCTCCTTGAACTCCTTAATTAGCTTCGTGTTGCTTCCAGTGAATATGAGATCGTTGACATAAAGAGCGACTACCATCATATCTTTTTCTGATTTCTTTGTGTACAAAGCATGCTCATATGGACATTGTTCATACTCATTTTTCTTGAAATACCCATCAATTCTCTCATTCCAAGCACGAGGAGCCTGCTTCAGCCAATAAAGAGTTTTTCTTAATCTCAGTATCTTTTTCTCATCCCCTCTCTTCATGTATCCGAGTGGTTGCTCAACATACACCTCTTCCTTCAGCACTCCATTTAGAAATGTCGACTTCACATCCATCTGTAGAATCGGCCATTGATTATGAGTAGCTAATGAGATCAGAAGTCGGATTGACTCCATTCTCGTGACAGGAGCAAATACTTCATCATAGTCAATTCCCTCCTTTTGTTTATAGCCCTTCACCACAAGTCAAGCCTTGTAACGTTCAACCTCTCCCTCAACATTAATCTTCTTTTTGTACACTCATTTTACTCCAATGGGTTGAGCTCCTTTAGGAAGGTCAGTCAGTTCCCAAGTTTTGTTGCGTTCAATCGCTCCAATCTCCTCATCCATGGTTGTTCTCCACTTCTCATCTTGGACAACTTTCTCAAAGCTCAAGTCTTCAGAGTCAGCCAAAAGACATACAACATGAAATTCATTTTTAGTGTCGTATATTTCCTACAAACTTCTCATCTTGGGTTGTTGTGGCTTTATTTCTTTATCTGAGGACTCAATAGTTGTTATTGTTGAAGGCAAAACAATTTCTGAACTAGTTTCTTCTTCTGTCGGGTTACTCCAGACCAATGCTTTGTTTCTTCCACGTGAACATCTCAGCTTACCACCACTTTATTGTTAACAGGATCAAACAATTTATACGCTTTAGATTTTCCATCATACCCGATAAATATGTACTTCTTACTCCGATCTTCTAATTTAGTCCTGTGCTGACTTGGTACTTGCTCATAGGCCATGCTACCAAACACCTTTAGATGAGAGACACTCGTCTTCATACCACTCCATATCTCCTGAGGCGTCTTCTCACCTAGCTTTGCATGTGGACATCTATTTTGCAAATAGACTGTGCACTGCACTGCCTCTGCCCAAAACTTCTTTGGCATATTCTTCCCTTTCAACATAGATCGAACCATATCAAGAATGGTTCGGTTCTTTCATTTCGCTACACTGTTTTGCTGCGGAGAATATGGGGCAGTCAGGAAACGTTTGATCTCATGTTCCTCACAGTATTTGTTGAACTCAGTAGAAGTGACTCGCCTCCTCTGTCAGATCGAATTGCTTTGATGACTTTGCTTGTTTCTTTCTCCACCATAACTTTGAATTTCTTGAAATTTTCAAACACTTATGACTTCTCCTTCAGAAAATAAACCCTTGTTTTCCTTGAAAAATCATCAATGAAAGAGACGAAGTATCTCTTACCACTGAAAGATTCTGTAGTTATTGGCCCACACAAATCAGTATGGATCACTCCGAGTTGCTGCTTTGCTCGACACTCAGAACTTCTTGGGAAAGAAGTCCTCACTTGCTTCCCAATCACACATTCTTCACAAAACCTTTTTTTCGAATTCCATTTTAGGCAATCCGAGCACCATTTCCTTTTTCACCAGCGTAGTCAACCCACCAAAGTGAAGATGACTAAACCGCAAATGCCACTTCATGGCCTCATCCTCCATATCAAATTGCATACATTTATCTTGAATTGTTTTCAGCTCAAGTTTGTACATGTGATTTTTCTTCATTCCCACCAAATCAACAAATCTCCCTAATTTATCCTTCAGTTGTAGCTCTCGGTCCTTCATTAGAACTGAGTACCCTTTCTCCATTAATTGTCTCATGCTCAATATGTTGCTTTTGAGATTAGGTACGTAGTATACGTCTCTGATCTCTCCGATTTGCCCATTTCTCTGTTGATACCATATCGTTCCTTGACCTTTGACGACTACTTTCGAAGCATCACCGAAAGAAACAGATCCAGACTCCACCTTTGAAAGTATTTTGAATAAGCGCTCATCACCACACATGTGGTTACTAGCGCCGGTGTCTAAGTACCAAACCGAGTTATTAGAACAGTTCGGTTTGATCTCAGTTTCTGAAGTGTTTGTCACCATCAGCAATCCTTCATCTTCTTCCTCAGCAAGAAAGTTTGTTGGTTCCTCCTTTTTCTTCTCAAACCTACAATCTTTGGAAATATGACCTAGTTTTCCACAATTATAGCATTTTACGGAGTAACAGTCCTTGACAACATGCACATTCTTTCCACAATTATAGCATTTTACCTAGTAACAATCCTTGGCAATATGCTCATTCTTCCCACAATTATAGCATTCAATATTGTTTGTGTTTGTCCGGCCACCCCGAGCTTGTCCTTGGCCACGCCAGTTCTATTGACCGTCTTGTTCATTTCCTCATCCTCCTTTTCCTCTACCACCACGACCTCTGCCTTTTCCTCGGCCTCTGGTACTCTGAGCATAGAGCACCTTCTCCTCTTTTATTGTCGCCTTTGCCTGGAGAGCCTGTTCAAGGGACTCCCCCTTCTTGTTTTTCCTTCTCTGCTCATGCGCTTCTAGGGACCCAACAAGCTCTTCAAGGGTGAGAGTTGACAGATCCTTAGATTCCTCTATTGCGCACATGATGTTCTCGAAATCATTTGTCAATGATCTCAAAATTTTTTCAACAACTCGGTTTGATGAAAGACTCTCACCATTCTGATTCAGCTTGTTCACCACGGTCTCCACCCGAGTAATGAACTCGGATACGCTTTCAAGCTCTTTCATCCTCATGTTTTCAAGCTCGCCCCTAAGGGTTTGAAGTCGAACTTGTTTCACCCTTTCATCTCCTTTGTTTGCTTTTTCAAATGTATCTCATGCTACTTTGGAAGATTTTGCGTTAGCTATCTTCTCAAAGCCAGATTCGTCGACGACTCGGTATAATAGATACAGAGTCGCCTTGTCTTTAGCTCGAATGGTCTTCAATGCGTTCAGCTGGGCATTTGAATACCCATCTGTGTTTTCCAATTCCTCATACTCATTCTCGACCACATCCCAGTTATCTTGGGAGTCAAGAAGAGCCTTCATTTGTACTTTTCAATTGTCATAGATGGTGCCTTTCGTCAACTTGGGTAGCGGGATGTCATTGGTTAGACCTGCCATTTCCTCTCAAGTGTTTGTACTCAACTCACACACCTCACAACGTTCTGAGTCGCTCCTCTCTCTTTCTCAGCCAGCACACACTGCGGCGTTCTCTCTTGAGGTTTGGTGGGCTCTCTCACACTCACCTCACACGCAAACTCTGATGTCAATTTGTTGGTAACAGGAAAACAAAACAACGCTCTCAATTTTTCTTCTGATGCAATTTCAAATGAGTTATTACAATTATTTATGGCAAAAATATTTGTCTCTTCAAATGTCAAACGTAAATCATAATACCTATTAAATAAGTTTACATCTCATTGGTTATACCACTCGTAATTAAAACCATTAATATTATTTTAGGAATATTAAACGTCTAATTAAAGTATTACAAGTACCTACGACATCTATGTTTCAAATTGCACTTACAATTCTCATGGAATTATTTGAAACTTTATAGTGTAAAGATTTTTATACCATCAACTAATTGATTGAGAAGTATTACAGAGATGATTTTTAAAATAATTATTTAAAAATCAATAATCTTATCTTATATGAAAATTCATGATAGAATAATATAGCTGAAGCCACTATTTTCACAGTGAGCAAATTTTAATTCTGATTGAATTCCCTCTAAAACTATGGACAACTACATGAAAAAATAGATGATGAAGCCAGTATTGAGGTAAATATGCTAAGGTATCTTGTTTTCCTCTATTGCAAATTAACCCAGTTATCATAATCAGCTATTTGATATTAATGTTGGAGGAAAGATCACAGATACTATCACTCATTGCTGATATAATTGTCAAACACAGCAACGAGTAAAATGGCGAGGTTTATGAACAGGCAGCCAAAGTTCAGTTACCATTGTTGTACGTCTGCTTCATTGCTACGCTGGTGAGAGACACCAGTGAGAGCAATATAAGATATTTATTTATTTGTTTACTTATTCATGAGTTAATTTGTGTGTACTTCAGCAAAAAAAAAAAAAATATCATGTTTACATAACTTTTTTATTAGTTGTTAGTACATAGACTATTTACATCATTCATATGTATCATATATGCTTGAATAGGTGATTTTCCTGATGATTTCCCCGCCATAATTAATTCGGGCTGAAAAAATTCATGGTCCCACGGTTCCAGCTGATGGGAATTATCATGCACAAACATTGCATGAAGCATTAGGGGATACAGGCCAAATCATACCTTGAACTTCCCTGTATTAATTGTTTTCTTTCAAAGTTGGTCCTGCACTAGCATGTGCTGAGCAAAACACCTTTGACTGGTTTTCTTGCATCAGAGCTATCTCATGAGGTGTACTTAATTGGTATAATTAAATTAAAGAACATTGATTATGTTGCTGCAAACACCATAGTTTGAAATGCATATTTTGTGACAGGCTGGTACCAGGAGTTAAATGTTGTGTCTGGTTTTTGTCCAACTCCTGGTTCTGCTCTTGCTAGTCACATGGATGTGGACAAGGTAATCTTTTGAATACTCTCCATCTGAATTCATGAACAATGAACTTTTCTGGTGCAAGATCCGTATTTTCTTACTACTTTAAGATGCTCGGGTGTAGGAACAATTAATCCCTTGTGCAGCCAACTTCCATCAGCCTTTTGATTTTAGCATGCAATGCAATGAATGCATAACAAAATATATAGCAATGATGTTTGATCCGAATGTCTCTTCGTGAGACGTGTTGTGACTATCTTTTATCATGGATTTAACTTTCTAAAATTAGAAGAGTACGCTGTAGATAATAAGTGTAACAAGTAATCATCAATTAAAAAACTAATATTATTTTTCATATTTTGCTTTTAATAAACTAAGTCCATATATTTTCATTGAAGTGTTGAAAATCGAACCAATTTAAAAATAAATAAAAATAGAAAATCAATCAAAATTGATTTATTTTAGATATTTTTGGATTAAAGTTTTTTAAAATCAATCACTTCAATTTTCGGTTCGGCGATCAGGAACCAATCTTAACCGAGTCCAACCGCAATTATAATATATATATATTGAAATTAAACAACATTTATTATAATTAAACCAATTAAAATACAAAATATAGGAAACAACATTTTTGAGTGTGACTTGTGAGTGAGTCAATAAAGCATCATCATCAAATTCTATTCAAATATATCCCACCCAAATAAAACATCCAACTTTTAATTATATAATTTTATCTCAAAGAAACCTAACCCACTCGTATGGTCCGGATAACACAATATTGTTTATAGCCACTAAGTGCAAGTGACAATAAAATCTATTATAATAACGTATTTCTTCTCAAGAAATATACATGTAAACTATTAATTGATTATTTCTTCTTAATTGATTATTTCTTATGTTATTATTTATTATGACATGAAATATGTAATTTATTTGACATCTAATTTTAGTTTGTTATAATTTAGAATATATTTTGTAATTATTGAATATTAAAGCATATATTTATTTATTTATATAACAAGTATTTTAAAAATTGTCTACACCAAATCACAAATATTGATTTGGGTTGTTTTAGATTTGTTTTTTAAATTAAAACCGAACTAAATTGAATTATATTGATATTTTATGTTTGATTCAAGTAACTTTTTTACATAAAATTGAACCCAACCACACCAAATACCCTCCCTGAATGAATTTATTCTTCACAAATGAATAAAACTAGATTTATTCTTTCCCCATACCTTACGACAAAATTTAACATATTGGGAAGTGTAGTGATACTCTGCATTAATTACGACTAATTTGTGATTTCTCATAACAAGTTGACATTCAGTGGCGATCTTATTGACAAGTGACGTGTTTCTCCAAACTTACGTAACTTTCATATAATTTTTTATTTTGGTCCTCAAATTTAATAAATATTTAATATATTTATTTATATATTTACAATTTTATCTTTTCAATTCCTCTTTAATTTTGTAACTCTCATTTAATTTATCATTTTGTTCCCCTTAAATTTAATAATCATTTAATATATTTTAAGTATATATTTATAATTTTATCCTTTTACCATTTTATCTTCTTATTTCTTTTTATATTTATTTATTATTTATTAATAATATATTAATTAGTTCCTCCAAAATTAATGGTCAACATCCACAACTATTCACATTACTTATTATTACTTATTAAAATATATAGTTGAGTAAAACTCATCATAAGCTTGATCACCCTGAATTAACTCGTATAGAACTAAATAAATAGTGAATGGTATTTTATTATACGATGATTCTCGATCAAAGATAATAAAAATATAATATCTCTTCTGAGATATTTGCCTATATCTTAGCAAAATCAGGTTTAGTATTTGTTACTTATTCTCCTTTTATATTTTGATAAATGTATAAAAAAAAAAAAAAAAATCAATAAAAGCTCTCTTTAAGAATTGGTGTGTTTGACGGAAACATATTTTGTACTAACGAACAGTTCTTGCAAGATGAAGCTTGTTAGGGTGAGAAATGATTGTTTTGGATTGCAGGTGGCTTTCAGTGGATCAACTGAGACAGGAAAATCACCATTAAGAGTGTGTGAAGATGCTGATGTTGACAAGGCAGGGGAACTTGCACACTTTGCTCTGCTCTTCAATCAGGTTCATTCCATTTATGCTATATCCTTTCCATTCAAGTGTGCTATGTAGGGCAGCACATGTGAATAGGATAGTTATTACTGCATATTTTTATTACGGTCAAAGCTTTTGAAAGGGGTCACGTACTTACGTGCATGAACGAATATACAATGAGTTTTTGGACAAAGTGAAAGGTAACTCTGCTTTGAGATGTGTTGTCGGTGATGCATTTATGAAAGGTGTGGACAGTAGTGAACTCAGTAATTCATATTTTTAGTTTTGCAAAAAAACAATATTTATTATTTTATTTTATATACAATTTATTAGAAAAAACATATTGGATTGTAGGTCAACATTCGCTCATGCGAAAGTAACATCGCTCGAGCGATGTCACCTGTGCAACCGCTATCATATAATAACATTCGCTCAAGCGAAAGTAACATTCGCTCAAGCGCTCAAGCGAAAGTAACGTTTACGCAGGTCAACATTCGCTCAAGCGAAAGTAACATTCGCTCAAGCGAATGTAACATATAATAGCGGTTCCAAGTGGAACCGCTATCATATACAACCGATTTTTTTATTCTGATCGATTAGATTTTCGAAATGATCGATCATATTTGATAATTTTTTCAAATAATTAATTATAATCGATTAGTTTTCTAAATTATTGATTAGAATTGATTAGTTTTTCAAATAATAGATTAGAATTGATTAATTTCTAAATATATACTAAAAAATTATAATTAAAAATATAAATTATTTAAGAATATTGACTATTGTAAAGATAAAGTAGAACATGGGAGGAGATCAGGATGATAATATAATGATAGAACTTACAAAAATGTAGAATTAAGAAGTTTGAAACAAATAAAATTAAGAAAATAGAGATTTAATTACACTTTTAATAAATTTAAGATAATACTAGTTTTGATTTTTATTTTTAAATATTTATTTTAATTATTTAAAACAGAGACTATAATATTAGTTTCTAAATACTTGAATTTAAAGAATTAAATTTATTATTATTTAATCTTTTAATTTTAGTATTAAAAATTTAAATTATATTTTATGAAATTAAAATAATTACAATATATTTTTCTACTTTGAGAATGAACAATATAATTAAACTCAAAATTGACAATATTATAATACATTTTTGAACTCTTTTGGATTAATTTTTTTTCCTAATTTTTGATAAAGTTAATTTTAATATTTAAAAGTATTTAACATTTTGAATTCGAAAGGTTTTCTCTAATAGCAAATTTAAAAACATAATATTCAAAAAAATAGTTAATGTAAGTTTTCATTATAATTGAGAAGATATAATAGCGGTTCCACGTTAACCGCTATCTAAAGTATATTTTAGATAGCGGTTAAGGGTTAACCGCTATTAGAAGTGCCCTTTTAATAGCGGTTCCAGTGGAACCGCTATCATATACAACCAGATTTTAAGATTGTGAAGTCTTGGGTTGTATTTCGCTTGAGCGACACTATACTCGCTCGAGCGACATCTGATTCAAACATGAGGTCACCCATGTTACATTATTCGGCTAACTTTGATCGACGGTTAGCAGGTCAACATTCGCTCAAGCGAAAATAACATCACTCGAGCGACGCCACCTGCACAAAATTGGCATTCTCGGGTTGTATTTCGCTTGAGCGACAGGGTCTCACTCGAGCGACGCCACCTGTACAAAATTGGCATTCTCAGGTTGTATTTCGCTTGAGCGACAGGGTCTTGCTCGAGCGACGCCACCTGCACAAAATTGGCATTCTCGGGTTATTTTTCGCTTGAGCGACACTGATCTCGCTCGAGCGACATCCACATTTTTTGATTATGATCGATTACATTTTCAAATGATCGATCATATTTGAAAATATATAATAGCGGTTAATATTTAAGCGCTATTAGAAGTGCTATATAATAGCGGTTAAGATTTAACCGCTATTAGAAGTGATATTATAATAGCGGTTAAGATTTAACCGCTATCATATACTACCACATTTTTCACTTTCGTATCTTGCGCCACTTATCCCCAAATAACCCTAACTCTCGTGCCTCACTCACCCATTCCTCTTAACCTTGGCCAGTATCTCCTCCTCACTCCCGGCGAGCCCTAGCCCCCACACTACTCCCCCCAAGTCAGCCCTCACCCTAATCCAACCTCCACCAAAGCTCCTCGTCAACCGGACGCCACCCTGTGAGCCACCGCGCCACACCTCTGTTCTTAACCTCCTCCGCAGCCTCTGACACCCTCAACCAAGGTTTGGCTTGTTTGAATGTATATACTATTATTCTCTTGCATTGTGAATAATATAGGATAGATAATTTTGACAGAATTTTTTTATCGTTTGTTGTAGGTGGATTTGTGAAGTAGATAGGTTCTTCGATCCCTCTTATCATGCGGATTTGGTGGTGCTTGACGCACCAATTTGGGAACTTGTTGAGACCGTACGCCCTCGGGTTAACCATTTGTAATTTGTTTTAATTATCTCGTTGGATCTTAGTGAAAAGAAATTTCATAATTATTGGGTTTACTTATACAATTATTTGGTGGTCTCGTATCATACGTATCGCATAAGTAGTGGATAAATACCTTGGAAAAAATGTATTAGAAAAACGTAAGTACTGCATCACATGAAGTGAATAATGCAGTTTCACTTATGCTGATTGTTGTAGTTAATTTGCAAGAATAGAAAAACATAAGTAGTGCATCACATAAAGTGAATAATGCAGTTTCACTTATGCTGATTGTTGTATTTAATTTGCAAGAATAGAAAAACATAAGTAGTGCATCACATAAAGTGAATAATGCAGTTTCACTTATGCTGATTGTTGTAGTTAATTTGCAAGAATAGAAAAACATAAGTAGTGCATCACATAAAGTGAATAATGCAGTTTCACTTATGCTGATTGTTGTAGTTAGTTTGCAAGAATGGAGATCCCCGTTGGTAGAATGTGGATGTATCAAAGATTGGATGGTAACAAACATCTAACAGATGAATTTAGAGAAGGAGTGTATAATTTCCTACAATATGTTATTGCTCAACCTATGTTTCAAGAACAAGGTGAAATGTTAAGATGTCCTTGTGTTAAATGTAACTGTAAAGTTTTCAAGTTTGTTGATCAAGTTGCATGGGATCTTTGTCAAGAGGGATTCATGCCTAATTATTATTGGTGGACAAACCATGGTGAAGAGTCGCCAGAATTTCCTGCAGTGGTTGTTGAGAGATCACATGGAACTTTTCAACAAAGGGAAGAATTAGGTCCTTTCCATCAAATGATTATGGATCATGTCGGACCGTCACTTGGATACCAACTTCAAACCGAGAGTGAAATTAGAGAAGAGGACATGGCAGAAAACCCTGATCCTGATACTCAAAAATTCTTTGACATGCTTGCTGCTGCGCAAGCACCATTGTGGGAAGGATGTACACATCACTCTGAATTGTCAGCATCTTTGGAAGCTCTAAGCTTGAAATCTGATTATAATATGGCTGAAGGATGTTTTAATAGAATGGTCCAATTTATGGGAGAGACTATGCCAGAAGATCATCGAATGCCTACGAATTTTAACCAAGCTAAGAGATGGCATAGCGAGAATGAAAAGGACCCCAATATTATGTGTCATCCATCGGATGGGGAAGCTTGGAAGCACTTTGACACTCTTCACCCAGAGTTTAGTCAAGACCCAAGAAATGTCAGATTAGGGTTATGTGCTGATGGGTTTAATCCTTTTGGTCAGTATGGCAAAAGTTATTCTTGTTGGCCGATTATCCTAACTCCATACAATCTTCCACCTACCATGTGCATGAAGAGAGAATTTATGTTTTTGACAATTTTAATTCCAGGTCCTTCAAATCCAAAGCATAAGATTGATGTATTCTTGCAACCACTTATAGATGATTTGTGCACCTTATGGAATGAAGGGATATTGACTTATGATGTGTCATTGAGGCAAAATTTTATGATGAAAGCTGCTTTGATGTGGACAATTAATGACTTCCCAGCTTATGGCATGTTATCGGGTTGGACGACTATCGGTAGACTTGCTTGTCCTATATGTATGGAAAGAACAAAGACATTTTCTCTTAGTCATAGCCACAAGATCTCCTATTTTGATTGTCACCGTCAATTTCTTTCACAAGACCATCCATTTAGGAGGAATAAAAAGGCATTCAAGAAGAACGTTGTTGAGATTGGTCCCCCTCCTCCACGTTTATCTAGTCTTGATGTCTCGGAATAGGGTGACACACTTACCAGTTTGCTATGAATTACAACAAGTAGACAATATTGCAGGATATGGTATTACACATAATTGGAAGAAACAAAGTATTTTTTGGAGGTTGCCTTATTGGAAAACCCAACTTTTACGTCATAATATTGATGTTATGCACACGTAAAGAAATGTGTTCATGAATGTGTTTGACACTCGTCATGGATATCAAAGGCAAAACTAAGGATACAAACAAGGCTCAATTGGATGTAGCTGAAATATGTAATCGAAAAGAGCTAGAGTTGAAAGACATTGGACGTGGAAAACTTATCAAACCAAAGGCAGCATATGCTTTCACCAAATCCCAAAGACTCTCTATTTGTAAGTGGGTTAAAGAACTTAAATTGCCAGATGGATATGCTTCCAATTTGGGTAGATGTGTCGACTTGAATCAAGGAAAGTTACATGGTATGAAAAGTCATGACTGTCATGTGTTCATGCAACGATTACTTCCAATTGCATTTGATTCGTTGCCAAAATCAATTTGGAAAGTACTAGTTGAACTTAGTCTTTTATTTAGAGAATTGACTTCCACAACACTAAATATTGAACACTTACGAGTTATGGAAGAAAATATACTTGTCTTATTGTGTAAATTGGAACAAATATTCCCACCAAGCTTCTTTGATTCAATGGAACATCTTCCAATTCATCTACCTTATGAGGCAAAGGTTGGTGGTCCAGTTCAATATCGTTGGATGTATCCTTTTGAGAGGTATCTTTACACTAACTACTCACCCTCCATTTCTAAAGTATTTTATATGTTCTTTAAAGACTCCATTTTTGTATTCTTTT